GCATCCTGCCTTAACCCCATTCCATCCTACGGTTGACCTAGTCTACCATTCACTTGTACCCAACCGTTGCCTTCTTATGCACACATAAGTCCAACTGACGATTTACCCTCCCAACCCCAGCCATTGCATAACCTCCACAATGCCTCACGCACCAACAGTCATACCGCATGCCAATCTAAAGCTAAAAAACCTCACCCTTGATGTTTCTCTTCTCCCACTTTCAACTATAAACCTACGTGTAAATCCCTGCCCCCAACACATAGAACGCCCAGGCACTCAAATTGACCCTCGCCAAAACACTGGCAAGAACACCTCAACCTATTTCCAAAACACTTTAGCACAGATCTTGTAATCGCCACACATTAAGGTGATATGAACGTTAGTCATGCACACATCACAAGACTTTTGTTTTAGGGACCATGACCACTCCATCCCGTTTTTCTCCTCTGTTCCCGCCAAACCTACCCCTGGTTTTCATGGCATAAATAACTCCACTAAAAACTCATGCAAACACTCCCAGTTTTCCCTATAAAAATCACAAGGGATGCCATCAATACCAAGCGATTTACCCAAGCTCATCCCGTCCACTGCCACCCTAAACTCCGCCCTCACTTATAGGCCCACCCAAACTCAATCGATCCTTATTCACTAGATTACAGATTTTACAAACCCGATTCGCACCATTGCGCCTAACGCTCACAATTAACCCCCACACTTACCCATTCTTCTGTACCACGCATCCAATAACAACCCCATGACCCTCTGTAGCGAAAGCACCTGCCCCTGACGATATCCCGCCATTTGCTCCTGTTACCCGCAAAACTTCATCAACTCTGTTGCCCTAACGACCGTGTCCCCTGCTCCGCAAGAACATTACGCCGACGGACGGTCCCTCCCATTAGACCTCATCAAGGCCCCCTGCAACCCTTGCCAGCATCAAAATTGGCGATTTTGAATATCCCCTAATCCTTGTTTCAAACCCTCAATCTCATTCATCAGTATGCACCCCCTCCCATATAGCATCCTTGTAGTTGACCCTCCAGGAAATTTAAAATCCCATGATTGAAACTGCTCTCTCCTTCCCCATCTTCTGATAAAAAATCCCTCACCTTTCCCTTACCGACCGAGTCCCACCACCCAATGACATCATCCCCGCCGCCCTCCATCAGCCCACCACCTTTCCAAGCATGCCAAAGATTCCCTCGCCCTCCGCCTGTTTTCAATAACCCCAACATTTAACTCATCCAGAAACCTCTGAAACTGTCTTCGGCAAACCCTCCAATTTAAATTGACCAGAACCCCACGATGATCATATAAGCTTACATTCAATGCACACACACTGCTCACCCCCAACCCCCCGAGAGATACATAAATGCGCGATCAAGCCTCGCCGCCGCACAATCACAACGCTTATTAAACGTATGTGATCCACATCCGCTCACCTCCCCTCTAGCATCCACTACATTTCACACCTCACAACAGACCCCCCTAAAAACCCGAAAAAAAAACTCACCCTAGGCTCTACCATAACTTACGTCGACAACACGAGTTCCAATCTCCCCCTATAATTGTAATACCGTTGCAGTGATCTGAATGGTAGACAAGGCATCCCTAAAGAAATCTTTTTTTAACACACTTGTCCCCTTCCCGCGGCCCATACATACCCCAATGAAACCCACCCGAACCCCTCTCCCACTTACCCTCGACCTAACCACCCGCCCCTCCGCCCCTACCTCACACCTATGCAAAAGAACGGGCTGTGTTCCTTAATTATTAGTGCCACACCATCTTTCAGTCGTGTAGAGCTACCCATGTACCACGTCATATCGGTAATTCACAATGCACCTAAATATTATAATTATGCCCTTGCATGAACACATGGTCTGGCACATAGTCTCCTCAAATAACCCTCCAGAACTTTACATTTGCACAATGCCTTCAACCCATTAAACATTACAGTGAGACACCTGAAGCCATAATGAAGGGCTTTCACCCCCCCCCCCCCCCCCCCCCCCCCCCCCCCCCCCCCCCCCCCCCCCCCCCCCCCCCCCCCCCCCCCCCACCCCCCCCCTCCCTTAAACCCCTAACACAGCTTTGAACTCTGTGAGAAAACCCGCACCCCGCCCCCCACACTTCCCATCATCTTCACCTTGCTCATGCTCTTCATTCTTTAAACCACCTTTCTCTCTAGGTGTTGGATCATGCCAGGTTTTCTTCCCCGTCATTTACCCAAGGCGTCAAACATCCTCACTTATCAGAAATGACAGCCGTCCTCATTGCGAATAGCCACCTTCTCACTCTTCTCGCCTCCTCCTGCATCTTCCCTGTGGGACCCCACTGCCACCCTGACCCTCCCGCATCACTCACAAACACAACTTCTCAATTGAGGCCGCCCCACCTCAGCCTCCTCTAGCCCAGCATTGAACCGAAACAATCCATTAAGGACCGTCCCAGGTCCTCCTGAATTGTAGCTTCCAAAACATCGGTGTGCCAATTGCATTACTCCTCACACATCTTCGCCGACACCAAGCCTACGTCCTCGTCAAGTCCAGTGAGTGTCACAACACAATCAGGCGACGACGCTCCTCCCTCTCCACCTCCAAACTCCACGACTCCCGAACAAAGGCTTACGTTGCATTGCCATTGCATAAGCAGTTGTCCGTGTAACATCAGATCCCGCCTCTGCTTCAGGATTTCCCACGTCTCGTTGGACAAGTCGGCGCTATGTGGTCGTAACGCCCCACACACACGGTCACGTACGCCTCTGACCTGAGCTATGATTACATTCACACTGATCGGGAAGTCCTCCATTCCCACATACATGGTGAATAGGATGCCTTAGCGGACATTTCAGGGAAACGTCCCCTTCAGGAAGCCACTAGTGGCCCATCTCGCCAACGTCCCTGTCGCCATGTGTGGATCGTCCCATATCGTCCATCACCTCGTAAATTCACTTTCATCCGCCTCGAAAGGTACATTACGCACCTGGACCCAGGCCGTAGAATCTTGATACGTCATGAAAGCTGACACCTAAAACGCCAGGTAACCGTCCTTAACCAAGTCCTGATACTTGCCACCATGTTGTCATATGTACTGCTCCAGCCCGGAACTTGACGAATGCGTGCCACACCATCATGAGAACTCCTAAGAAGATCTTCCAGTAGGATACCGTACGTATCCCGCAATATCGGCCGTCAGCACATGTGGGTATCTGCGCAGTAAGCACGCCCCTCCACAAATCAAACAGACAGTTTCACAACTTCTGTGGGCCACTCTCCACCCATGAGAAAAAACTGCACCCTGCCACCAGGTGGCAGAGCGCAGTTCCAATACGGCCTCTGCTCTCAGAGTTGAGAGAACGAATATGAAAGCTGCGCAGAAAGCCAGATGGATTTGGACTACTGCGCCAGCCTGTCCGCACTGCCCGAGAAGCGATGTGGACAATGCAATGTAGTTTTAACTTCTTTGTGTAGTTTGATGTTGATTTAACGACTGTGAGATTGGACATGGGTTTAAAACGAGGTTGGGTGTGGGGTGTAAGTTGATGTTGATTAAACCACGTGAGAGTGTACATTTGGTTTAACATGGTTGGGGTTGAGGGGTTTAAGTTGATGTTGATTAACCACGTTAGAGTGGACATGGTTTTCAACTGGTTGGGTTGGGGGGTGTAAGCAGAAGTGAGGGATGTATGTTTCAGAATAAGTTTTTTGATTTGAAAACTTTGTTTCGAGTCAGGTGTAGGTTTGTGTTAGGTTTGTCTTAGTGAAATTTGTACTGTTATTTACTCACTGACTGTAGTAGTACCAAAAGTTTCTGGGGGGGGGTTTTTTAATTTTAAGTTCTTCTAACAACATGTTAACCCTGAAACGTAACTTGTAAGTTTTTTTATGTGAGTGTCCTTTTTAATGGTTTAGTGTTTAAATGGCTTTCAATTTTAGATTGCGTTTAGGCAGTGACAGTGACATGACTATCAGTTTGTGTGTGGTGTGTGTGTGTGTGTGTGTGTGTGTGTGTGTGTGTGTGTGTGTGGTGGTTTGGTGTGGTGTGTGGAGGGAGAGTGTTAGAAGCGCTGATGTTAAGCAACAGTATTACGTAAACCTGTCAGGTGTGACACGGTTTTTTAAGGTTGGATAGTACGGTTGTGTTGTTAGGTCAGTATTAGTGGCCTTATGTAAGGTGTCTGAAATTAATGACTGGAGGTTGTACGCATGGAAGATTCTTTGTTCATATCCTGTATCATTGTACCAAATATTGTTATTCGTTAAAAACCCTTTATCTGCATTTTGTACAAATTTTAAATAACATATAAAGAAAAATCAACTTATAACGCACTCCAATTCCATTATATTTCGTTTCATTCTCTCAAAATTCTGAACAACCTATTTAAAGCCCATCGTGATAATCTACCTTTAAAACCATGGCCACCAACTTATTATCTCATTCTAATTGTAATAATACACAATTATTTAATTTGATTATTATAATAATAATAATAATAAATATTAATAATAATAAAATAAATACTACATAATAATAATAATAATAATAATTAATATTATATTATTTAATATTATTATTATTATTATTTATGTATTTATTACATAATATTTTATTTTATTTTTCGGTCACCTTCCCTGGGTGGAACGACCGATGGTTTATAAAAAAAATACATACAAAAAATATTAATAATACAAAATGATAATACTGACTACACTGACTACTACACTACTACTACTACTACTACTACTACTACAACCATTAATTCTACTTATATTACTACGACTACTACTATTTCACTACTACTTCTGTTACTAAATAATACATTATTATTTATTATTATTATATTATTATTATTATTATTATTATAATTATTATTAATTATTATTATTATTATTATTAAATATGGTAGTAGTTGTACTATTAGTACTACTATTATTATTAATAATAAGTTTTAGGAATTTTATGTCATCAAATAAACATGTTTGTTGTGTTGCAGGTGTAACAGTTCTTCACATAGCAGCTGCGGAGGGTTATGATGATTGTGTTAAGATGCTGCTTGATGCTGGTGCTGACGTCAACTGTCAGAATGATGATGGCTGGACACCACTATACTATGCTGTTAAGAACAACAATGTTGATATTGTTCAAATGTTATTAAATAAGTCACGCTGTGATCTCAGTAAGAAAGGAAGCTATTACTACATGGAACTAGAACATGAAATTAATAGTAAGTATTATGTTGATTTATAAGGATGGTGTTATGTCCATGTTTGTGCCATACTGACCTAATTGTGGTTGCAGAGGTCGAGTCACAGCTCCTGGCCCGTCTCTTCAGTGGTCGCTACTACGTCACTCTCCCTGCTCCATGAGCTTTATCATACCTCTTCATTAAGCTATGTATGGATCCTGCCTCCACTACATCCCTTCCCAGACTATTCCACTTCCTAACAACTCTGTGACTGAAGAAATACTTCCTAATATCCCTGTGATTCATGTGAGTCTTGTTGCAGTATCCCATCTCTAGAACATCCTGTCTCTGTCCACTGTGTAGATTCCTCTCAGTATTTTATATGTCGTTATCATATCTCCCCTATCTCTCCTATTTTTCAGTGTCGTGAGGCCGATTTCCCTTAACCTCTCTTCGTTGGACATGCCTCTTAGCTCCGGGACTAGTCTTGTTGCAAATCTTTGCACTTTCTCTAATTTCTTTAAGTGTTGGTTCCAATCTGGTGCTGCATACTCCAATATAGTCCTCACGTACACGGTACACAGGGTCCTGAACGAATCCTTATTGAGACGTCAGAATTATATTCTTAGGTTTGCTAGGCGCCCATATGCTGCATCAGTTATTTAGTTGATGTGCGCCTCAGGAGATGTGCTCTGTGTTATTCTCACCCCAAGAACCTTTTCCTTGAGTGACGTTTGCAGTCTTTGGCCACCGAGTCTCTACTCTGTATATGGTCTTCTTTATTATAACTTGGCATTTAGGGGTTAATTCACGACCTAGTTGCTGCTTCCCAGGACTTTGAGGCATGTCCAAGTCTGTTTGTAGTGCTGTACTCACCCTGGTGTGTGGTGTGGTGTGTGTGTTGTGGGTGTGTTGTGTGTGTGTGTGTGTGTGTGAGTGTGTGTGTGTGTTTGTTGTGTTTGTGTGTGGGTGTGTGTGTGTGTGTGTGTAATGTGTGTGTGTGTATGTGTGTGTGTGTGTGTGGTGTGTGTTGTTGTGTGTGTTGTGTGTGTGTGTGGTGTGTGTGTGTGAGTGTGTGTGTGTGTGTGAGTGTGTGTGTGTTGTGTGTGTGTGTGTGTGTGTGGTGTGTGTGGGTTGTGTGTGTGTTTGTGTTTTGTGTGTGTGTGTTGTGTTGTGTGTGTGTGTGTGTGTGTGTGTGTGTGTGTGTAAGTGTGTGTGTGTGTATGTGTGTGTGTGTGTGTGTTGTGTGTGTGTATGTGTGTGTGTGTGTGTGTGGGGTTTGTGTGGTTTTTTGTGTGTGTGTGTGTGTGTGTGTGTGTGTGTGTGTTGTTGTGTGTGAAATTTTGTGTGTGTGTGTGTGTGTGTAAGTGTGTGGTGTGTGTATGTTGTGTGTGTGTGTGTGTGTGTGTGTGGGGTTTTGTTTGTGTGTGTGTGGGGTGTTTGTGAGTGTGTGTGTGTTATGTGTACTCACCTATTGTACTCACCAGTTGTGGTTGCTTCTTCCCTCGTATGTTTTGTGTGTGTGTATGTGCGTGTGTGTGTAGTTCCCTATTTGTACTCACCTATATTGTTTGTGGTTGCTGGGTCGAGTTAAAGCTCCTGGCCCCGCCTCTAGACTGATCGCTAATAGGTTTCCTCTCTCCCTGCTCCTCTTAAATTCCAGGATGCAGTTGCTGGACCGAGCTTCCAGCCTGTCCACGTCCTTTTGTAGTCCTGCCTGATCCCCTGCTGATTTAATTCTCCTCACTAACTTCACATTATCTACAAACAGGGAGACTTCTGAGTTTATCCCCTATGTCAGTCATTCATACATACAAGAAAAACAGCACTGGCCCTGGGACTGATCCCTGTGGAAAATGCTCCTCACAGGCGTCCACTCTGACACCTCGTCACATACTATAACTTGTTGCTGCCTCCCTGTCAAGTATTCTCTGATTCATTGCACTGCCTTCATGCAGTCCAAGAAATTGCAATCCGCCAGTTTCAATGTGTGTTTGGAATATTGTAGTAAGTGGCACACACAACGTCTCTCTCCCTCTCAAGAACTCATGTCCAGCCCTTAGGCATTTAAGGTATCAAGTTCTTTTTGGCTGGATCTTCCCCTCCTCCTTCGTGTGTGTGTTTCGCCCAATGTTTGTGTACTCTACTATTTTGGTTTTCTGGAGTCCTTTCTGTCTCCTCTGTAAATGCTTTTTTAAATCTCATTTGAGCTTCTCACATGCTTCTCGGTCGTTTCTTATGAATTTCCCCCTCCTTAGTTCCTCACCCTGATTATCTGGTCCATGACATCTTTTAAACCTGATGTGGCTATACAACAGCTTCTGGTCAGAATTGACTTTTGATGCTATGTCTTTTTTGAATTGTCGCTGGGTGTCCATACTTGTATGTGCATATTCATTTCTGGGTCTTCGACTAATCTCTTTATTTTCCTGGTCCTTTGTCTACTGTACTTTTTCCATTTTCAAGCACACTTATTTTTGCCTCTATACACCTTTGGATGAAGCAAGGCCTTGTTCTGGTCTTCCCATTATTTCCGTTGCCTTTGTGATGGAAACTTTCTTCTCCTCCTTGCATTTTAGTGTCACGTGGTCCATCTTTTTGTTTACTGATTTTCCCCACCAATTCTCTTTCTCACTGAACATCTTGTACGAAATTTCTCATGCCTGTGTAGTCTAAATTTTGTACTTTGGGTTTTTCACGAATCCTACTCCTGCTTCCCTCTCCATTTTTAAACTCTACTATGTATTCGAAGCTCAGACCATATGATCACTAGCTCTGAGGGGACTTCTATATGTGATGTCCTCGATGTTTTGAAGTAATGAAGGTGAATACAAGGTCCAGGTTAGCGGTTTCAAACCTCTCCTCTCTGTCTGGTAGTGTCCCTAACATATTGATGCATGAGGTTTTCCAATACCACCTCCATCATCATGGCTCTCCAGGTTTTCACCGTAAATCTCCTTGTGATTGAAATCAATCACAACTAGAAACTTTGCCCTACCTATGTGAGCCCTTCTGGCTACCTCAGCTAGTGTGTCCATCATTGCCCTGTTACTCTCTCCATATTCTTCTCTTGGCCTCCAGTTGTTCTGTGGCGGGTTGTACATCACTGCAATTACCAACTTAGACTGAATTGTTTTATGTAGTTCCGTTTTGCACATTCTGTCCATTACTTCCACTTCCTTAAATCCCAGATGGTTATTGACTAGCAGTGCAAGTCCTCCTCCCCAGACTCCCTATATCTTTCCTCAGGATCTGATATCCGGATAAAAAAGATCGTGTCTGTTATCATTCCAGTGAGTTCCGTTTCTGTGAGAGTTTATGATGTCTGGGGACATCTTGATTCTTTTGTGACACTCCAAAAATTTATTTTCTTTTTCCTTCCTTTGTTTGTGTGCCAAACCTTCAACTTTTCTAATACTGTGGTCCTAAACGGTATGTTAGTGTTGGGGAAAAGCAAGAGACGTGGGAGGTACTATGGGGGGTTGCTGTAAAGGTGGGCACAGCACATGGATTTTGGGTTAGTGTGTTGGGTTGCAGTGGGATTGTCGGGTTGAGATCTTCCTGTATGTAGTTCTGAGAGAGGTTGTATTTGCTCTTCCTTCTGAGTCTGTGTTCTGCCCATCTCCATCCTTGCCTCTCTTTCTTCCTTGCAACTTTCAGTTTCTGTATTTCTTCCTGTGTTCTCTCGTTGACGAAATATACCCGCCGGTACTTCAGTATGTGTGTGTACTCATCTAGTTGTACTCACCTAGTTGAGGTTGCAGGGGTCGAGTCAAAGCTCCTGGCACGCCTCATCACTGGTCGTTTACTAGGTCACTCTCCTTGAACCATGAGCTTTATCGTACCTCTGCTTAAAGCTATGTATGGATCCTGCCTCCACTTAACATCGCTTCCCAAACTATTCCACTTCCTGACTACTCTGTGGCTGAAGAAATACTTCCTAACATCCCTTTGATTCATCTGTGTCTTTAGCTTCCAACTGTGTCCCCGTGTTGTTGTGTCCAGTCTCTGGAACATCCTGTCTTTGTCCTGTGTGTGTGTGTGTGTGTGTGTGTGTGTGTGTGTGTGTGTGTGTGTGTGTGTGTATGTACTCACCTAGTTGTACTCACCTAGTAGAGGTTGCAGGGGTCGAGTCCGAGCTCCTGTCCCCGCCTCTTCACTGGCCGCTACTAGGTCACTCTCCGTGAACCGTGAGCTTTATCATACCTCTGCTTATATGTGTGTATGTGTTTGTGTGTGTGTGTATCTGTGTGCATGTGAATGTGTATATGTGTGCATGTGTATGTGTTTGTTGTGTGTGTGTGTATGTGTGTGTGTGTGTGTGTGTGTGTGGGTGTGTGTGTGTGTGTGTGTGTGTGTCTGTGTGTGTGTGTGTGTGTGTGTGTGTGTGTGTGTGCATTTTGTTTGTGTGTATGTGTGTGTGTTTTACTCACCTATTTGAGGTTGCAGAGGCCGAGTCCAAGCTCCTGGCCCCGCCTCTTCACTGGTCACTACTAGGTCACTCTACCTGAACCGTGAGCTTTATCATACCTCTCCGTAAAGCTATGTATAGATCCTGCCTCCACTACATCGCTTCCCAACTATTCCACTTCCTGATTAATATGTGACTGAAGAAATATTTCCCTAACATCCCTGCAATTCATCTGTGTCTTCAACTTCCAACTGTGCCCTCTGCCCTCCTTGTTGTTTGTGTCCCATCTCTGGAACATCCTGTCTTTGTCCACCTTGTAAATTCCTCTCAGTATTTTGTATGTCGTTATCATGTCCCCCCTACCTCTCCTGTCCTTTAGTGTCGTCAGGTTGATTTCCCTTAACCTCTCCTCGTAGGACATACCTCTTAGCTCTGGGACTAGTCTTGTTGCAAACCTTTGAACTTTCTCTAGTTTCTTTACGTGCTTGGCTAGGTGTGAGTTCCAAACTGCTGCCGCATACCCTAATATGGCCCAAACGTACACGTTGTACAGGGTCCTGAACGATTCCTTATTAAGATGTCGGAATGCTGTTCTGAGGTTTGCTAGGCGCCCATATGCTGCAGCAGT